ACACGCACGCGCACACACACACACACACACACACACACACACACACACACACACAAACACAAACACAAACACAAACACACACACACACACCATAACCACCAGGCGCGGCAAGAAGCTGACTGAGATGGAGAAGTGGGAGTACAAGCAGCTGGCGCAAGCGGGGGTGCTGGACGTGAGGGAGCACCCCCTCTTCGATGAGGAGGTGCGCTGGGGGTGTCGGGGTTTAGGGGGTTTTGGGTTTCAGGTTTTGCTTCCAGGTTCTGGGGCGTGGATGTTGGGTCTGCTCACACCCTCTTCGACGAGGAGGTGCGCTGGTTACTAGGGTCTGGGGTTCAGGGGTTCATGGGTTTGGGATGTGGGATCTCAGGTTTTGGGGTGTGGGATTTCAAGGCTGGGGGTGCTGGACGTGAGGGAGCACCCCCTCTTCGATGAGGAGGTGGGCCGGTCACTAGGGTCTGGGGTTCAGGGGTTTGGGGTTTCACGTTTTGGGATGTGTCATTTCGGGGCTGGGGGTGCTGGACGTTCGAGAGCACCTGCTGTTTGACGAGGAGGTGACCTGGGGGTGTCGGGGTTTGGGGGTTTCAGGTTTCAGGTTTTAGTGTGTGGGTGATGGGTTTGATTACACCGCTGTTTGATGAGGAAGTGCGCTGGGGGTGCCGGGGTTTTGGGGGTTTTGGGGTTGTGGGTTTCAGGTTTTGCTTCCAGGCTTTGGGGCGTGGATGTTGGGTTTGATCACGCCGCTGTTTGACGAGAAGGTGCGCTGTTACTAGGGTCCGGGGTTTTTGGTCTCAGGTTTTGGGGTTGTGTGGGTTTTGATCTATGAGAGCCAGGTTGGGGACAGGAATCGGTGATGGTGTCATGTTGCAAAGTCTGGTGATTCATGGCTTTCAACTCACTCCTTGAGAGAAGGCGGGGGTTTCAGGAGTTTTGCCGCGCAGCGGCTGCGTTGCGCTGCTAAGCAAGGCCGGTTGTTGGCAGTCTAAGGAAGCGGGCGAGGGTGGTTGGAAATTTCACCGCCGCGCACGTCCAGGGCTGCCTCAGCAGCTGCCAGCCCGCGCACCCTCGGCGTCGATTTGGACTGCGCATCCGCCAGGAGCTCCCAAACCGACGCCGCACCCCGCGGCCTCCGCGCCCGCTCGGCCCCGCTCGCGCCAACCCTGGGCGCCCTCCTGCATACTGGCGCAGCGGCGCCGTGGGCCCCCTCCCTCCCTCCCTCCCCCTGGCCGATGCAAGATGCCCGCCAGATGGCCGGCCCCCCCGTCGCCCACCTGTCCCAGCCCGTGATTGCCTGTCTGGACTGCATTGGATAGGAAAATCCTCACGTTCCTCCTTTTGTCATGTGTTCTCATCCCACCAAACCGGCCCCCAGGGTGGGCAGGGCGTGCTCGCGGGCGCCGACGACGACGCGGAGGAGGAGTTTGAGATTGACCTCAACGACCAGGTGGGTAAGGG